TCCCAACCCTCAAAGACTTCAGATCTGAAAGTATAATCAACTTGGGACATCCTTGACCCATAAATCAAGCTCCTTGGTCAAAAACCCCATAAAAGTGACATAGAAGAGATCTAAGTGCATAATGATCAAGGTTGGAACTTGCTTACCAGAAAATGATGAGGATTGCAAGAGGTTTCTGGATCTACTAGTCTCTTCTTGTATCCTCAAAGCTTCTCCTTCTTCTTCAAGCTTCAAAGCACTCAAGAACACTCATAAATGGCTCACAAGCTCATGGGAGGCACTAGGGTTTCGTGGGTTAGGGTTTGGGCAAGGTAGACTGGAAATGGGGCTGATGGGAGGAGAATAAGATGCTTAAATAGGGGAAAACAACCCAAATTTAGGGTTTCCCAAGCTCATACCAACTCGCCGAGTCGGTCCTCCGACTCGTCGAGTAAGTCACTTAACCCGCGACCCCAAAACCCACTCCTACTCGTCGAGTCATTCCATCGACTCAACGAGTTGCCTTCTTGTCTTGAGGTTTTTCTTTCATTTCTTGGTCTTCTAGATTCTGGGTGTTACACAAACAACATGCATAATGAGCCATCAGCCTGACTGGACCGCCTCGCAGGGCCAACAGTCTATCTAAACCGCTCTTCGAGCCTTCGGCACGTCTGGACCGGCTCTCAGGGCCTTCAGCCTATCCGGACCGCTCGCCGGGCCTTCGTCCTGACTAGTGTGCCCTAACCGGGTCTGAAGTCTATCTGGTCCGCCCTGGGTATGTTGGCCTACAACACAAAAGCAGGAACTGCCTCAACCCAACCCCCAATCCAACAATCATGTGCACATAAATATCATACACTAGCTAGCATGTACAGATAGTCATACAGATCTAACAAATCACTAACATAATATTATCCTATAACCAGGATACTGATCTAACAGATCACTAACATAGCATAATCCTATAACCAGGATACCGATCTAACAGATCACTATCATAACAACCATCATATAACCAGGATACAAATCATAAAAGGGCCGACCTTGGTGCCTTAGACCCTGTTGATATAGTGAGAAGAACTCACCTCACGATGTCGAACTGTAGTGATAAGATCAAACTCCCGAATCACAGCCACGAACTCAACCACCTATAACCACCATATGACCAAGTCCATCAAAATCCCAATTTACCAAAATACCCTCAGAAGTCAACCCTTGGTCAAAGTCAAAGTCAACAGTCAAGGTCAATAGTCCATGTTGACCCAACTCGTCGAGTGCAGCTTACTGACTCGTCGAGTTCTTCCAGAACTCGAGAAATCATAAAAACTCTAGTTGACTCGCCGAGTTTCCAGACAACTCGTCGAGTCCATGCGATGCCCAGATGTCGGGGAAAAACCCTAACTAACTCGTCGAGTCATCTACCTGACTCGCCGAGTCCCTACAGGACCAAAACAGGAAATCTTCATCTGACTCGTCGAGTTGGCCATGCAACTCGTCGAGTCCCTCCAATCATTTCTCATTCAGACGTTTTTAAGCACCCCAAAGCTCCAAATTACAGATCTAACCTCCTAGAGCATGGTTTCCACGTAAAGTTGCAAACTTTACGTACATGTACGGTCCTAAATGTCAAAACCAAGCTAAGGGAGAAATTTAAGCTAAAGAGAAGGGCTAAAGCTTGATAAATTCAGTAACTTTATGGCTACAAGGACCTAGATGAGTCCAGATCTGAAGTTACAACTTCAAATCATGCCCAATACCCGAAATGACCCACAAATATGCTAAGGATGGCCTTAAACCCATGAACAAGGAGATCTAACACCAGAATGATCAAGGTAACAACTTGTTACCTTCAAATGGAAGCCAAAATGGAGTAGGTACTGGATCTGCAAGCTTCTCCTTGATCCAAGCTCTTGAGTCTTCAAGCTTCTTGCACAAATGCACCAAAACACTCTTTTAGCCCCACAAAACACTTAAGAACAAGGTTTAGACTGTCAAAAGGTGGTAAGGGGCTGGGGGAAAGGACTTAAGGTCCTTTAAATAGGGTGAAAATCCTAAAAATTAGGGTTTCCATGCACAACCTCTACTCGTCGAGTTGGGGTCCTCCGACTCGTCGAGTAGAAGTCATAAATCATGCGGGTTGACTAGGTTCGACACGACGAGTTGGGGCCACCAACTCGTCGAGTTCCCTCATTAAAATGAAATATAAAGCTTTCGAAAATTATACCTGGGAGTCGGGATGTTACAATTTTTTTCAAAACCATTAGAAATAGCAACCAAATCATTGGAAGTAGTCAGTGGAATATTAAAATTATTATCCGGATTATTTTCATTAACATTTTGACTTCTAACAAAAAATTTATTCAAAGACCTTATTAATTGATTAATCTCTTCTTGTTCCTTTTTTTTCGTTTTCTATTTTGAGCACCTGATGGTTGTTTTCGAGGAAACATATTTAAAACTCAACAAATCTAGTTATAAAAACTAAGCAAAGAAAGATACAACCTGAACAATGTTTTCGTTTTTTATTCCAATTTCAAAATGTCAAGAAATCCGAAAAATGAATCAAATAATCTGAAATAAGAATCCATTTTTAAAAAACTATTGTCTAATAACAACAATGAAATAAATTTATACATTTCTAGAAACAAGAATGTAACGCCCTGTTCTGAATCGTTCCCTTTGTAGACGTGGGTGATGTAAATTTAGATGATCTGGGGGTCCGGTTTGTGTTTTGGAGCCAAGGGGTATTTTGGTAAAGCGTCAGATCAGACTTTTATGGAAATTGGATTTTTGTTCGGGAAATGTTAAGGCGATTATGAGATGATAAAAGCGTAGAGCTTCTCGTTGCCTCTTCATGGATATAAGGAGTGCAAGGAACCTTAATTTAAGTGTGGTGTACCCTATTTAAGCACCTTAAGTATTTAGGGACGGCCTCTTTACCAGCCCCCAAACCTCCTAGAACCCTAAATTGACCCTTAAGCCTTCTTTGTGGTATGCTTGAGCTCTTGAGAAGATTTTGGTGGTTATTTTTCCCTTTGTGAAGGAAGTAAAGGAGATTGAATGGGCTTTGCTTGATGATAAGGTTATAGATCCAAAATCATCACCCTTGTTGCAAGCTTATTGAGGTATCAAGTTCAAACCTTGTATTCCCCATGCTTATATCTCTTCATATCTTAGTTTTTTTGTTTTTGGTCCTTTTTTGGGTTGGTTTGAGGCGTTGGGACTATTTAAGGACTTGTTATTTTAGATCTGAGCTTATTATGGATTCCTTAAGCATAAAGGTGCAAGTTTTATGGGATTTTTGGTCACATGCATGCATGCATTAAGTCACATATTAAGTCCTTTTGAGCTTTAAGAGCTCCATTTAGCCATGCATGAACGTAAAGTTAGCAACTTTATGTGACAATCTAGCTCAAGGATGTCAGATCTACGTTTTGGAGCAATATCTTAAGGGATTAAGGGCTAAATGCGGAAGATGGCTGAATGGGAGGAGTCCACTAGGCGTACAAGCCAGTACGTTGGGCGTACAAGCCCTAAAGCATGTACGCTTAACGTACAGCTGAGTACGCCCCACATACTCAGTCAGTGGGCTTCAGACGTTTTGGGCTTCGGTTTGGGTCATTCTTTTGGGCTTTGATGCTTAGGGCTTTATGGGCCATTTGAATGCAGTTATTGTGGACTAGGAATGTTATCTGTACATGTTAGTATTTGTTATATGTCGACATATTGTGTTGGTTGGGTTGAGGTTGTACTGCTCCGTGCGGTAGCCAACAAACCCTGGAGCAATAAAGATATGAGATGAGGGTCGGGAAGGGCATGCATAACTCATATTGAGGGCTCATGAGCATTCCAGATACGAGCTGAGGGCCGGGTAGGACATGCCAGACTCGTACTGAGGGCTTGGTAGTATTCAGTCTAAGGACTGATATGGTCGGGAAGCAATCCAGACATAAGCTGTGGGCCCCGAGGGCAAGCCAGACTTATACTGTGGGCTCAAGGGTAATACAGTCTTTTAGCTGTGGACCCATTGCATGTTGTTATTGTATACGTGTTATTTGTTTATGTGTTGGTACTTTGGGGGAACTCACTAAGCTTTGGGCTTACAATTTTGGATTATGTTTCAGGTACTTCAGACGATCGCGGGAAGGCGAAGGCGTGACCGTACACATCATCGTGTTTTGACTATTGATTTTGGGAAACTCTGATATGGAACATGTTTTGAAAACTATGTTGTAAACAATTTCTGATTTTGGGTTGGTTTTACAAGTTTAAAATTCTCATGATTTTTATGGGTGTTACAAAGAACATAAAGCAACAAATTTTTAAGTAAACAAAAGTAGTTAAATTTTAATACAAAGCAACATCCTGATTCACATCATAGAAACAAGAAACAAAAACGAAAAAGTTTAGAAATAAACTTTAGAAATTTGTAGCAGAAACAAACCATAATAGTCAGAAATTTACCTGAAGTAAACCACAAATAAAGGAGAAAGATTGATGGCATCAAATTTTGAGCTTAAACATGGGAGAAATCCAAGCTCAAACAAAGGAGAAAGACACTTTTTTTTACTATAAATCGAATCACTTACTCAGATACAATGAATTAGATAAATCGAAATCAACAAGTAAAATCAAAATTAGAAGAAGAGAAGTAGAGAACTCACCCAAATCACTTAAAAAGAAATAAGAAATCAGTCATTCTTTTCATTATCCAACTCCAAATATTCAAACTAAATCAGGTATGCCTCCTGATTTTGTCGACTGTCATTCACATCACAAAAATTCAGAAACGAATCACTTAATCAGATTCAGATACAATGAAGAGGTGATAACTGATGTTAGCAAGTTTAGAAAGAAATTAGAAACAAACTAAGAAAAAATGAACTCACCTAATGACCCAAATAAGTTTGTCCTGTTGAAGAGATACCATAAATAAAAAAAGAAAAATCCAACATGTCCTTACTCCTTTCTTTCATTTTCCTCTTGCTTTAGGCAGAAAAAATCGAACCCAATCAAGCACAATGGTGAATCGCCAACGGTTGATCGAACTCAGAATTAAAGGTTGAAAAAATCGGACTTGATCGATTGAATTTTTGAATGTAGCAACAGTCGATTTACAACAATTGAGAATAAGAAAGAGATTTCGAATGAGAAACTGAGAATAAGAATTAAGGAATAGAAAACAGACCAAGAGAGATGAGATGATTCAGTCGATTTACAGCCTCGATCTCCACAATACGATTTTCAAGGTTGCGATTACCGATTTGACGGTTAAAGTTCTTAAGAGGCTTGATTCTTTGGAGCTCATGCCTTCCACTCCTACATCCGGACGCGTTTCTTCTTGGACCGGAGTTGCTGGACTTAACTTTTGGGCCTATATATATATATATATATATATATATATATATATATATATATATATATATATATATTATTGGACAAATACTATGCCTCCTTTTGTTTGATGCCCTGAGCCTAAGCCCAATTTGCCCATGTATTGGGTCGGGCCTGATTGTTGGCAAAATGCATATTCTTTTAAACATCAAACATGAAGATAAATTCTAAACTCTAATCTATGTTTGAAATTTAATTTAAGTTTTATTTATCTATGTTAGTCTAATTTCCAATCTTAGAAATGATTTGATTTATAATAATGTCTTTAGATTCTTTTGAGACTCACTTTTTTCAGTCTAATCAATAGCCATACCAATAACAATATATTCAACCAATTATATAGATTTTGATATGCATTTTGCCATCAAGAATTAGACACATTATCCTTTCTCTTTTGTTTTGAAAAAATAAAATGTTTCTTTTGAATTTTAATGTTGAAACTATCAAAAACATCATAAATAATAACCACAACAAAGACATGGGAGTTATGAGCCAAAATGAAAAATTGGGTGCATACAAAAAATGTTTCCAAATGTGAGGGTTTTTTTTTTTCTTAAAAAACGAGTGTTTTTTTTTTTTTTTTTCTAAAAGAATATGTAAAATCAGAAGATTATTGGTAAACCTTATTAAAAACCAAATAAAAAAATTAGAAAATATCAACGGTGTTTTTGAACTAAATAATTTTAAGTTTAAAAAAAGTCATAAAATATAAGATCTTTTATATAATTAATCTTTCTTTAAAATAAAATAGATTTTGTTTTAATTATTTATTCTTATTGAGGTCAGAAATAACAACCAGTTTGAGATTAAATACCGTGGTTACAAAGAAACTTCTTATTACCTTCGTTTTTGAATTTTTGCAAAAACTCAAATAAAAGATTAGGGTAAAATTAGTTTTGTGTTAAAATTAATTAAATAAACACTCAAATAATTAGAAAAGTAATTATATAGAGCATCCAAAGCGTATTTCCAATTGAATTGCAATATGCCAATATTGACTTTTTCAAATATAAAAAGACGAATAAAGCCTCTAATGGTCCCACATATATAAATATTTACTTCCCTTTTTTATTTTAATATTAAAAGTAACGAATTAATTATAATAATAGAAATATAAATAGAATTATAATTTCTACATTTCTACATCAAAACAATAGAATTATAGTAATATAAGTTTAAAGTATTTTAAAACACAGGTATATAAATTAATAGAAATATAAATACACAAAAATAAAATACTTTGTTTTTTCGACTAGTAAATGATAAAAATACACACATAACATTAAATTATTTTATCATTTAAAAATATATAATTATTTTTTATAAACAAAATTACTGATCTATAATTACTGATAGATTTATTCAACCGATTTAATTGTTATTAAACTGTTTATTTACAATATAAAGCAACTAGGTGTGAGACATGTATATTATACGACATTAAAATGTAAACAATAAATATTTTTTAATGTAAAACTTTAAAATAAGAAAGAAAGAAACGTATTCATTGCAATTTAATTTCATATATATATATTATATTTAATAATTTACATATATAAATATATGACTTTAATTTTAAAAATTGAAACAAATCAAAAATTGAAAAATGGATAATATTTATTTTAAAAATATCACAAAATGACAAGTGTCAAAATTCATGAGAGATTCACAAGTGTAAAAAAAAACCTTCATTAGAGATTACTTTTTATGTTAATAGTATATTATTGAATAATTATTAGTTATAAACAATTATAATATTTAATTAAGAAAATATAAAATGGTTATTAACATGTGTATTGATAATTTTTTTAAAACTTTATAGAAAAATTTTCAAAAGAGATTGTATCTTAATATCTGGTAGATTTATTTTAATACACTAAAATTTTTAATACATTATTGAATAATATCGTTTGTTTATTTTAATAGATTATTGAATAATATCGTTTGTTTATTTTATCACTTACCCATCTGAAAAGAATAAAAGACGCCCTAAGCTCATACCCTCGCATCGCATCTGTTGTTTGCTTTCTTCTCTTGCATCGCACACTCTCGTTGTCTACCTCGCCACCGACTAAGCTTATCCCCATCGCCATCTGCAGCCGTCGCCACCCTCCCAGCGTCATCTCCGATCGTCGCCACCCTCACCACCGCCAACTCCAGCCGTATCCACAACAGGTTCGTCTTTCTCTCTCTTTTTTTTTTCGTTTTTTTTTTCTTTTTTTTTTTCCCGATATTGCTTTACTTTGCTGATCTTGTCGACTGATTTATGATATTGCTCCTCTTTGGTTCAGTTAGCACTTCATTTTTTACCACTTCGTTTTTTTTCTGATATTGCACTTCGTTTTTTTTCCTTCTGATATTGCTCCTCTTCGTGTATTTTTTGTTAGTAGAACTGAGAGTGTACTTTTCATTAGTTGAGGGGCGTAAATGAAAATTTCCACTTCTGCAAAATAGGAGAGATGGGGCGCGCGTAGGTTTGCTTTAAACGGAAGCCATCTTCGATTCGCCATTGTCAATGCTCTAAGGTTCAACAGATTTCAGCAATCCTGATTTGTGGCTGAAAAGTAGAGATGGCATCCAAATCAAGACCTAGAACATTAAGTGTGTATCTTTACATCCCCAACATCATTGGTGAGTTTGTTTGCCCTCTTTCACAAGTCAAAGTCCTATGATTTTTTGTGATATACATATACCACAAGATACTTCAATCAATGAATTAAAGAACCTGTTAACTCATAATATCACATGTCTCAAGTATTTACCCTCTTTCACAAGCCAAAGTTTCATTATTTCTTCCTGTATACTTGCTCAAAAAGCTGAAATTAGGACTCCTTTATAAGGGTGATGTAATGCTATAGCTTGTTAATCACACAATAGAGAAAATCAACCAAAAGGGCACAAAGACAGCAGCAAAATGATAGCAATCGGATTCAATAAACCAAAATATCTTTGAAAACAACAAAAGAAAAAGTGAATTAGCTATTCAAGATGCTAATGTCTCCTACAGGAAAATATCCCAAGAATTGCAATAGGGGGTTCAGCATATAACATGAATTTGTATGGTCTTTTGAAATGTTCTCTTGCTAGGTTTTTTAGTTTATGTATACATGCTCCTATGTTTTATGTTCATGGATTTGACTGCTTATTTTTTATGTACAGGATACATAAGAGTTCTGATGAATTGCTTTGCCTTTGCTATATGCTTTTCCAATAAAGAGCTTTTTTCAATCCTGTATTTCATCAGGTAAAGGGTAATATAAAAGAAGTTGTGTTAGTGTGGATACATTTTCTTTTAGAAAGTCTGTAGTTAAGATATTAAAATGGTAATTTTTTGCTGTTACAGCTTTGTTTGTGATGCCTTGGATGGTTGGTTTGCACGCAAATTCAATCAAGGTAAGGAGTAACCCATAATTATTGACTTATTGGCATCAACATATCTGAATTTATACACTGAGTCCTTGAGTTTCGACTACTCTAATATCACCCCCTATCATTTTTACCTTTGGTAAGAGCAAGTTTTACTATAGGCAGTAAAAGAATTTCATGCAAAATACAAAAAGCACTTGTTCTTTCATCATTTTTATCAATTCAATCACTGAACTTATAATTTGCAAATCATTCTACACACTGCAGAATCTTTTTTAATTTCTTTCTAGCCATTTTATGTATTTTCATACTCTGGATTTAATTCCATTGTTTACTATTTGACCCTTGTAGTTTCAACATTTGGAGCTGTTCTGGATATGGTCACAGATAGGTGATATAACAAGTTCTTGTTAAAGTCTTCACATTTATTCTTAACTTCTCTTGATGCTCATTAACTGTATTCCATATTAAATAACCTAAATTTGGCATCTCTCAGGATAAGCACTGCATGTCTTTTGGCTATTCTCTCTCAAGTCTACAGGTTTTAGTTTTTTTACCTTTAATTCTATTCTATTTGTATATATCTGAACTTTCTTTCAGACATCTAACATTCTTGCTTTTTAACTTTCCAGGCCTAGCTTTGTTTTCTTGTCTTTGCTTGCTTTGGATATTGGCAGCCACTGGTTGCAAATGTACAGGTATTTATTTACAAAAATACCCTTTCATTTATCAGTTTTATGGGACAAGATATTGATTGATATCCACCCTTTTTGAATGCAGTACTTTCTTGGTTGGAAAATCTAATCATAAAGATGTGAAAGACAGCACCAGTTGGTTATTTAAGTTATACTATGGAAACAGGATGTTCATGGGATACTGCTGCATAGCTTGTGAGGTAAAATTAAAAATGTTTTTTTTTTATTTTTTTAATTCCCATTTATTGCTGAATACAAATTACAAAGTCTGCTCTTATGAACTGAAGTTTTGATCTTGATTGTATAGGTTCTTTACATAACTTTGTTTCTTCTTGCAAAGGAGTCAGAAAAGATGACTGATGTAAGCCTGAATCTTACATTTGTTTTTTTCTTTGTTAAAGTTTTTACAGATGTGATTTTTTTTTAATAGGTTTTGCTTGGTGCTGCACAACAAAGTTTGATAAATTCTGTATTACTTGCTTTTCTTGTATTTGGATGGGCAACCAAGCAGTTGGTCAATATTATACAGGTATCATGATATAACTTTATCTTGCCTTATGTTAATAGTAGTTAAAAATGCTTTAACCCTCTTAAGAGAATATATTTGTGAAATTTTGTATGAATAAATGATATGTGTGTGTGTGTGTGTGTGTGTGTAATGAATGACAGATGAAGACAGCAGCTGATTTATGCGTGCTATATGACCTCAACAAAAAGCACAATGCATAGTGAGACTGAATAGGGGTTTGATAATGAATGATATGTATCTCTCTTTCTTTCTTTGAAGAAGATGTGCAATGCATGAATGATGAAAATGGAAAAACTACTGATTGGCAACATAGAATCGTGTGTATACAATACATCCCTCTTCTCTTTGTACTCCTCACGTTTTTTAACATGTTTTCTTTATCTTGGGGGAATTTGGGTGGGGGTGGATCAAATTTCAACTTATACAACGATCATGAATCATCTCATTGTATCTTGTTCAATTGCGTTTCTCAAATTTCTGTGGGGTTCAATTTCTTATCTTTATTGGTTGGTTGGTGTGAATCGCTTTTTAATACTTGTTTAATTATTGACACGTGTTTTGGGTTTGAGCAAATATAATCTGGTTTCTGATGAAGTTAGCTAAAAGTACAGTCATCATATATAGGTCTCATTTATTAGTAGTTTTACGGGAATATGACTTATTAAGGTAATTAACTTTTCGGTATGTTCATATCTGGGTAACTATCTTTTTTTTGTACACATCTAGGTAACAAACTTGTTGGAAGTGTTCAGATATGACAATTATGACCTGCTATAGCAGGTAATTAAATTACACGAATGGTCCCTGTGGTTCGGGGGAATTTGTGTTTTTGTCTCTAACTTATTTTTTTAACTTGGATGGTTCCTACTGTTTATTTTTGTTGCGCGTTTGGTCCATGTCTTACCTAAAAAGACTATTTTGCCATTATTAATTTATTTTTTAATTAATTTTCTTATTTATGTATTTATTTTTCATATATTTAAAAAATTAATATACCCCACATATCATTTGTGTAATTTAATTTTTACTTTTAGGTAATCTTAGGGGCTGTTTGATAGTCTTTTTAGGTAAGACAGGGACCAAACGCGTAACAAAAATAAACAGTAGGGACCATCCGAGTTAAAAAAATAAATTAATTAAAAAATAAACAATAGGGATGATACAAATATGTGGGGTCTATTAATTTTTTTAAATATGTGAAAAATAAATGCATAAATAAGAAAATTAATTAAAAAATAAATTAATAAAGGCACAATAGTCTTTATAGGTAAGACAGTGACCAAACGCGCAACAAAAATAAACAATAGAGACCATCCAAGTTAAAAAATTAAGTTAGGGACCCAAAACACAAATTCCCCCAACCATAGGGACCATTCGTGTAATTTAATTTTTACTTTTCGTTTTGTTCATATTTGGGTAACTATTTTTTTGTACACATCTAGGTAAGGAACTTGTTGAAAGCGTTCACATCTAGTATTTAACCTGTTACAGCAGGTCATAATGGTCATATGTGAACACTTCTAACAAGTTTGTTACCTAGATGTGTACAAAAAAAGATAGTTACCTAAATATGAACTTACCGAAAAGTTAATTACCTTAATAAGTCATATTCCCTAGTTTTACAGGGTAAATATTTTTCTTAACATAAGTAAATATCATCATCAAATTCATTTAAATATTCGCTCTCCCACTGAAAAATTAATTTTTGTAAAATTATTTAATTGTTTAAGATTCTGGTTGCAAAGTTTGATATGGATGTATCTGTTCTGTATCTGAACTACTTTTGTGATGGTTTTAGGGTCTATGTGGCACGGGGAGAAAGAAATTCAAAAAAAGGAAAAACTTTGTTTGGCTCTAGATACTTTAAGCTTTTATTTAAAACAAAAACTCTGAATCTAAAACTAATTCAAGTTATTTTTTGCAGCTTTTAGGATTTAGTTTTTAATTAATTTTATACATTTTAAAGCTAACAATCATTTTTTGCCAAACGTTTCTACATAAATAAATAAAATTTCCAGCTACTAGTTTTGTCAAAGGCATCGTTAATGGCCATATAATATAGACAATAATATGATTTTATGCTGAATTTGACCGGTAAACATGAAACACGTAAATGATACCACGAGGTTTGATGATAAGATGACTAGACATATACAAAGAAAATGTATTCAAGAGATACCACAAATCCAATAAAAGTTGTTTCAACTTTATCTTGAATGATGAGAAAAATGATAATTGGAATCTTCAAAGTTGTGAAGGTTGTTATTTGATGACGTCTTTCTAACATGAAACGATGAATTGGAATCTTGAAAAGCATCATAACAATTTGGTGGTCGCTCATTGGTTTCTGTTATTGCTATTTTTGTGCCTTTTTTCCAGCATATATAAGTATATATGAGTTTAGGAGATATTTGTACTTGCCAAAACAAATTCGTGACTTCTCAAGTAGTTCTTTTTTGCCTTCTCTTTCATCAAAATGCAGCATCTAATTCTGCTATTATGATGTTGTTGTGACATTTCCTATCTATCTCTATCAACTGTCACAAAAAACGACAAATAATAATAAGTGTTCATATGTTAACACCTAATAATCAACCATAAAAGGATATGACCGGGGAATTCTAAAGACACCCGATTTAAGGGTCAAATACCAGTCAAAACCACTTTGACTTACCTTAACCCCAATTGATGGGACTTAATATAATGATTATAGAACAATGATAACACTGTAATATGTATCTAACTATACCAAGGTTCTAAAAAGCTTGCCATGTCTCCAAGGCTTGTACCTGCCGCCAAACTTTAC